TAGCTTAATGTAATCCAACTTGTCGAATTTTGCTTTTGTTTACTCTAATTCAGGGATCATTTTCAAAGCACTGCCTGTACAAGTCTTCAAAGGTTTCCCATGCATTTTCTTCTAATAGATTCCTAATAGTTTCAGGACTTTATTCCAGCATTTGATTCATTTTTAGTTGCTTTTGTATTTTGTGAGATATAAGGGTCAAGTATCAATGTTTTGCATGTGAATATCCAGTTTCCCCAAGGCCCTCATTGAAAAAGCTGTCCTTTCTCCAATGTACATTTTGTTTATCTTCATGAGGATCAAAACCCAATAAATGCAAGGGGTGTGTCTGGGCCATTATTCTCTTGCTTGGATGTGCATGCCTGGTTTTATGGAAATAGCATGCTCACTTGGTTATTATATCTTTGTGTTGTATTAGAGTCAGGCAGTGAAGTGTCTTTGGTGGGATTTTCCAACTATGGAATCATATAATCTTCACATGGGAATGATATGAATTCCATTTTTCCTATTTGTATCCCTTTTATTTATATCTCTTCCCTAGTTGTTCTGGTTAAAATTTCAATTAGTATATTTAGTAAGGGTGATGAAAGTAGATATCCTTATCTTGTTCCTCATTTCATAGGGAAAAGCTCAGTGTTCTCCTTTCAGACAGATATTGACAATAGGTTTCTCACACATACCTTTATTATGATAAGGTGTCATCCTTCCAACCTAAGTTGTTGAGGGATTTTTATCATGATGGGGTTCTGAATTTTACCAGTCTTTCTCTGCATTAAAATGATCATATGATATTTATGCTTGATTATACGTGTGTGCTCTATATGCATTTGCATATGGTGAACCATCCTTGCATCCCTGGATTTCAAACACATGATCACGATGCATGGCCTTTGTGATGTGCTTCAGAATTCAATGTGCAAGTATTTTATTATGGATTATTGAATCTGTGTTCATCAAGAATAGTGGTCTACAGTTTACTTGTGTGTGTGTGTGTGTGTGTGTGTGGTGTATGTGTGTGGTCTTTATCAAGTCTTGATCACAGAGTAATAATGACTTGTAGAATGAATTTGGAGAGGTTCTTCCATTTCTATTTTATGGAACAGTTTGAGGATCATTGATTATAGTACTTAAAATTCTATAAGATTTATCAGTGAATCTGTCCAGTTCTAGACTTCTTCTTTAGACACTTTTGATTACTGCTTCATTCTCAAAGTTTCTTATTGATCTACTTAAATTTTTTATATACTCTTGATTCCATTTTGGTAGGACAATGTGTCTTGAAATTTGTCCATTTATTAAAATAGTTTTCAAAATAGTCCTTAATGTTGTTATGAATGTCCACATTATCTCCTACAAAATCTTGTTATCTCCAACTTTATTTCTCTTTCTTTTGCTTATTTTAGATAAGGGACTGACAATTTTGTTTGTCTTTTCAAAGTACCAAATATTTGTTTCATTGATCCTTTGCATGATTATTTTAGACTTTGTGATTTTGCCTTGGTTTTTTTTTTTGTTATATCTTCTCTCCTATGATTTTAACTTCAGTTTTGTTCTTCTTTTCTGAGGAATTTAAGATGCACCATTAAGTTGTTTGAGATTTCTGTTTTGAATTTATGTACTCACAGGTGTAAACTTCCCTTATATTACTGCTTTCACTGTATCCCTAAGGTTTTGGTGTCTTGTCTTCCTATTTCCATTCGATATGAGGAATTTTTAAATTTACCCATTCATTTCTTCATTGACACCTGTTTTTTGTTTATTTTTGTTTTTTAGAAAAAAAGTGATGGGTCAGTCCCCATGTGTTTGTATCATTTCTATAATTTTTCTTATTGTTGATTTCTCTTTCATTCCTTTATGACCTGATAAAATGAAATAAATTATTTCAATTTTTGAATTCACTGTGGCTTAATTTGTGGCCTGATATGTGATCTATTTTTGGACAAGTTCCATATGCCAATACATAGATAGTATATCCTGTAGCTGTTGAATGGAATATTCTGTAGATGGCTGTCAACTCTATTTGATCTAGCACTCTGGGGTTTCATTAATTGTCATGCTTTGTCTGAATGATCTCTCTCTTGGTGAGTGTATGTTATTGAATTTACTCACTGATTCTGTATCAGGACCAGTCTCTCCCTTCATGTCTGGTAGTGTTAGTTTTACAAAACTGGTGTGTTAATGTTTGTTGTATTATTTAAAATTGTTACATCCACTTGGAGAATTGTTCACTTTATCCTGATTCATTTATTTTGTCTCTTTTCACTGATTTTGGTTTGATGTTGGTTTTGTTAAAGGTGAATCTACACCTGCTGCATTCAGGTTTATTATATTTTATGATCAGTCAGCCAAGATTTTTGCAGGCAGCATGTGGGTAAGTTTGGTTTTTAGTTCATTGAGCCAGTCTGCATCCTTAATCCGATAATCAAGACCATTTCCATTCATAATTAATGTTGAAAGCACGTGCTTGTCCTTGCCATATTGAGGATTTTTTTCTGGTAGTCTTAACTGTTCTGTTTTTTACTCTCTCATTTATCTTAGAAATTTTATGCCTTTCTGTATTGAATATGCTTGATTTTTTCCTAATTCTCATTTGTGTACCTATTATTCCACTGAGACATTTTTATTTGCTATGCTCTCATGATTGTCTTCTTTTCTCCCTTGTCTGGTGTATGATTACCTTAACTATCTATCAAATGCCTATTTTGTGGCCATGAATTTTCTTATTCTATGTTTATTATAGAAAGTGTCCATTTCTAACTCGATTCTGAAGGGTGACTTTGCTGGGCATAGTCATCTCGGTTGGCAATATTATCTTTCTGGACATGAAATACATCATTCCATGCCCTCCCAGCCTTTAGAGTTTCTGCTGACATCTGCTATTCTTCTGATGGCTTGGCCTATAAATGTGACCTGGAGTTTCTCTTTTGTATCCTTTAATATTCTTTTTATGCCTATACTTTTGGCAATGAAACTATCAAATGTTGTGGAAGGTTCTTTACTGGTAGTGGCTTACTGAGTTCTAAATGACTCTTACATCGGAGTTTCAATGTCTTTCCCAAGATGTAGGGAAATGTTGGCCCAAAAAATGGGCATATGACCTGAAAGGATGTTTCTCAACAGAGGATTTACAAATGACCAACATGCATATGATAAAGATGTTCAACACCATTAATCACCATAGAAATGCCATTTAAAAACCTCAACAAGATATCTTCTCAGTCCAGTTAGAATGGCTTTTATCAAAAAGACAAAAAAATGATTTCACATTGAAAACACATGTTGAAATGTCACACTGTACCATGCTCCTGGATAAGCAGAATTAATATTGTCAAAATGGCCACACTACCAAAAGCATTATACAGATTTAATGCAATTACTATTAAAATCCCAATGACATTCTTCATAGAAATAGAATAATAATCATGAAATTTATTTGGAAAAGTAAGAGACCCAGAATAGCTAAAGCAATCCTTAGTAAGAAAAGTGAAACAGGAGGCATCACAATACCAGACTTTAAACTATACTACAGAGTTATAGTAACAAAAATGGCATGGTTTTGGCACAAAAATAGACTTGTAGCCCAATGGTACAGAATAGAGGACACAGAGAAAACCCACATAAACACAATTATCTCCTACTAGACAAGGGTACCAAAAACATTCACTGGAGAATAGATAGCCTATTCAACAAATGGTGCTGGCAAAACTGGAAATCCATATGTAGAAAAATGAAACTAAACGTCTATCTCTCGTGCTGCACAAAAATCAACTCAAAGTGGATCAAAGACTTAGGCACTAGAACAGAGACCTTGTGCCTAGTAGAAGAGACTCTAAAAGTGCAAGAAGTAAAACCAAGAATCAATTAAAAACCTTCTTCTTAGCAAATGAAACAATTAATAATGTGAAGAGAGAACCTAGAGATTGGGAGAAAATCTTTACCACATGCACCTCCAATAAAGCATTAATCTCTAGGAAAAGAACTCCAAAAACTTAACACCAAAAAACCAAATAACCCAATCAATAAATGGGCTAAGGAACTGAACAGACACTTCACAGAAGAAGAAATACAATTGATCAACAAGTATATGAAAAAGTGTTCAACATCTCTAGCAATTAGAGAAATGCAAATCAAAACTACTGTAAGATTTCATCTCCTGTCAGAATCGCAATCATCAAGAATACAGGCAACAATAAATGTTGCCAAGGATGTGGGGGAAAAGGTACACTGATACATTGCTGGTGGGACTGCAAATTGGTACAACCACTATGGAAAGCAGTATGGAGATTCCTCAGAAAACTGAGAATGGAACCACCATTTGACCCAGCTATCCCACTCCTTGGTTTATACCCAAAGGACTTTAAATCAGCATACTATAGTGATGCAGCCACATCCATGTTTATAGCAGCTCAATTCACAATAGCTAGACTATGAAAGCAACCTACGTGTCCCTCAATAGATGAATGGATAAAGAAAATATGGTATATACACCCAATGGAATATTACTCAGCTTTAAAGAAGAATGAAATTATAGCATTTGCCAGTAAATGGTTGGAACTGGAGAATATCATGCTAAGTAAAATAAGCCTACCCCATAAAACCAAAGGCCAAGTGTTTTCTCTAATATGTGGATGTTAATTCACAATAAGGCAGGGGGAGGGGCACTAGGGAAGAACTGCATTACCTTAGATTAGGTAGAGGGAGGTGATGGGAAGGTAGGGGAGGGGATGTGGGGATAAGAAAGATAGTAGAATAAAAAGACATTATTACTGTATGTATATATATGACTTCATGACAAATATGATTCTGCAACATGTACACTCAGAAAAATGAAATGATATCCCGTCTATGTATAATGTATCAAAGTGCATAAGTGCATTCTACTATCATGTGTAAAACAAATTAAATTAAAACAAATTTTAAAAGCATTCAGTTCATAAGTAATTCCATTGAGTTTGAAGATAATCAGGGCTAAGTCACCCCTAAGCATTTCTATTTCTTCCAAGCAGCTATAATTTGAAGAACTACCAGCTTGTGCTGGCACTGGTTTTTGCCATTGAGGAGATCAACAGGAACCCCATATTTTACCCAACATGTCTCTGGGATTTGATCTCTATAATATTTCACATTTTGAAAGGAATGTTTTGGAGACTTCCTTCTTTTGGCTGTTGGGGCTGGAAAAGATGATTCCTAATTACACCTGTAGAAGAGAAAGCAAGTCTGTAGCAGTACTGATGGGAGCATCATGGAAGACATCTTACCAGATTGGGCCATTCCTGGAACTCTACAAATTTCCACAGGTAATAGTGGGTAGAAAAGAGAGAGATTAAGCCATTCTCCTCTGTTGCCCATCTTGGGGCCCTGGATAGAGTTACAGGAGAAGACAAGATTCAACAATTTTCAAAGTGTGTCATCTCAAAGGTTAGGTCTCAGAGACTGGGTGATGTATTCACATTTTCTTTCTTTGGAATAAAGAGCAGCAGGAGCTGGTGCAGTGCAAAAAGTGGGTTGGAAATCTGAGGCTGTTCAATAATTTTCCAGAAAGCTCTCAGGATATGAGAGATGGCTTTGAAAATGATATGAATAAATTTCCTTGGTAACACTTCCACCTATTGCTTCATAAAATATACCATTCAGGACTGAGACTGTGCTATGTGACAATCCTTCTCATCATATTCCTTCAAAATGTTCTTTTCCCTTCAGCTCAACTTTGGACCTTTTGATCATAAACTGAGTGATCCTGTCCAGTTTCCTTCTCTCTATCAGATGGCCCCCAAGGACACATCTCTGGCCCTTGGTATGGTCTCCTTGCTGCTTCATTTCCACTGGACCTGGGTGGGGCTGCTCATCTCAGAATATCACAAAGGTATTCAGATTCTCTCAGACTTGAGAGGGGAGATGGAGCAAAATGGAGTCTGTGCAGCCTTTGTGGAAATGATCCCAGAGAACCATGTGTTCAATCATCACTTGGTCACTGAATCATCAGCAAATGTGATTATTATTTATGGTGATACTAAGTTTTTAGAAGACTTGATGTTTGATGTAGGGCAAACTCTAATGACTTGGAAAGTCTGGGTCACAAACTCACAATGGCAAGATGTCAGCAAGGGGAAAAATTTCATGTTAGATTCATCCCATGGGACTCTCATGTTTTCACACCACCATGGGGAGATTCCTGGGTTCACAAATTTCATCAGCAGTTAACCCTTCCAAATACCCAGAAGACGTTTACCTGGCTCGGCTGTGGTATTACAGTTTTCATTGTTCCTTTTCTCAACTGAACTGTAACATCTTGGAGAACTGCCCACTAAATGCCTCCTTGGAATGGTTGCCTGAAAGCACTTTTGACATGGCCATGAGTGAACAGAGTTACAACATATACAATGCTGTGTATGCCGTGGCCCACACACTTCATGAGGTGCTTCTTCACCAAGCAGACACACCAAAAATGGGAAATGGGGATGGGCTTCTGGTTTCCCCTTGGCAGGTAATATCTCTTCTGCCTCATGACACACACCACTGCAAGGTGATTCTCTAAAGGGATGGCCACAAGGGAGCAAACAAAGTAGTTTAGGATCCTTTCTCTGAAAGCACAACAGAAACTGTACTTGTTTCAGTGTCGGAGGTAAATGTAGGCCTGTGTAGAAGCAGTCTTGAGGAAAGTGCCCGTAGCAAGGATAGAATGCGTTCTACACCAACATCAAAGCTTGTATTACAAATGACTCCTGTTGAGCTGATGTTTTCAACAGAAAAAATCCTGATTTTCCATGACTGTCTTAAACCATAAGAGCAGAATTCACTCTTGAAGTGTGTAAGTGCTGCTTAGGACTCTAATGGACACTTACATAAGTGAACACATTTCACATCACTTGAAGAATTAACCACATTATTTTGCAGACTTAGACTGAGGCTCACTAGATGCAGTGAGCTTCCACTAGGCAGTTAAGGTATTATCTGATTCCCAAACCCTCTGATTATTTACATGTGCTTAATTGAGAAACTTCTCCTGGAACTATCATTCTAGAAACCTTATTCTCTAGCTGTCCATGGGCTATCATTTGTTCTACTCTATGATGCTTATGTTAAAGTAGCATTATAAAACAGAGATTAGCCAGGTGCCGTGTCACCCACCTATAACCTCAGTGGCTCAGGAGGCTTAGAAAGGAGGACCTTGAGTTAAAAGCCAAGTTCCAAAGCAACTCAACAAGATCCTGTATCTAAATAAAATACAAAAAGAAGCTAGGGATGTTGCTCAGTGGTTAGTTGTCCCTGGGTTAAATCTCTGTTACCTAAATAAATAAATAAACAGGGATTAAAGACAGGGGACTTTATCAACTTCAGGGTTTCTGTCTTAACTTTGGGACATGCTTATTCATAAAATACTGTATCTCTTTAGCTTCACCCATTTCTCAAGAAAATAAATTTTGAAAATCCTGCTGGAGAACAAGTGAATTTGGATGAGAAAATGAAATTGGAAGGAGAATATGATATTCAAAACTTTTGGAATCTTCCAGAAGGTCTTGGACAAAAGGTGAAAGTAGGAAAGTTTTCCCCACATGCTCCACGTGGCCAACAACTGTCTTTACATGAGGACCTGATACAGTGGAGCATAGGATTTACACAGGTGGGTTGGACTCAATCACAATGCTTTAACTACACAAGTATAAACAAAAATTTGTCCTGTATTGTATGTCCCCTGATTGCTCATTCATGGGCATACAAAGTACATTTAACAACATATATTCAAGAAAGTTTCTCATGAGATTTTCTTGGTGGTTGAAAAATGAACCCATTTTTAACAACATGATTGTAACTATTTATATATTTCATGTCATAAAATACACATGGCACCTGAGAATCAACACATATGGAGGTGTTATGATTCGGATACACAGTGTCCCCCGAAAGCCCTTGTGTTAATGCAGGAGTTGAAATGACTTGATTATAAGAGCCATAACCAAATCAGTGGATTAATAATTTGAATGGATTACTGGGTGGTAACAGTAGGCAAGTTGGGAGTGATTAGTGGAAGGCGGTCACTGGGGGCCAATCTTGGGATTATATGTTTAGTCTCAGGCTCTCATGTGCAACTCATATTCTCCCTCCCTCCCTCCCTCATTCCTTCCTCATGATGTTCTGCGTCACCTCAGGCCCAGAGCCATGGAGTCATGAAACCATGAACTGAACCTCTGAAACTGTGAGCCCAAGTAGATGTTTCCTACATTAAGTCGTCCTTGTCAGGTGTTTTGGTTACTGTGACAGTGACCTAACTAACACAGGAGAAATGATCTATTTTCACTCAGTTTTGATGTTCAGTCCATGGACAAAAACCCATGTACTTACCAACATGACTCTAACTGTTCGTATATTTCATATCATAAAATATACATGACAACTGTATTAGTTTCCATCACTGTGGCAAGTTGCCTAAGAAAATCTAACTTAATAAGAAGGAATGTGTTTGTTTTGACTCAGTTTAGGGTTTTCAGTCTGTAGTCATTTGGCCTCTTGCTTTTGGGTCTGTAGCTAGGGAAGTACATCATGGTGAGAGTATGTGGCAGGGAAGTTGCTACCCTCATTGTAACCAGGAAGTAGAGAGATTTCAACATCTTTCAAGGCTATGCCCCAACTTCCTCCCACTAGGTGCCACTACTTGAAGGTTCCACCACCTCACAATGGCACTATTGGCCTTTAGCATCAAGGTCTTTGGGAGACATATGATATATCATAACTATAGCATTATCAAAGCAATTTATTAGACTTTTATATACAGATTATGCCTTCTAATGGTCCCATTCTCTAACACTCTGTACTGACTGGAGGACAAGTCCAATGAGGCTGAGCAGTTCCCAACACCCATCTGATTTTCCTCAGACCCCTCATTCTGTCTGCACTGAGAGATGTGGTCCTGGATTTAGGAAATCCCCGCAGGAGGGAAAGCCTGCCTGTTGTTTCAGTTGCACTCCTTGCCCGGAGAACGAGATTTCTAATGAAACAGGTGAGCATGTGCCTTGTACAGAAATTCCCTATTATTCTTAATATTCTTCAGTCAATACAAGCAAATGGAAAAGATCTGGAAGGGACTTCAGAGATAAAACTCTTCTTTCCTTCAGGTAGGAGTTTAATTGTTATTCACAATAGTATTCCACCTTGAAATAACACAACTCTGTAGACCTAAACTACACATTTGGCTACACCATTCTAAACACACTATGGGCATGTAATCTCAAGAAGCTCGTTCCACCACCGCACAGGAACGTCAGTTTCATCTCCACCATGAAATTTAAAGCACAATCTTCTTGGTCTCCTTTGAAACTATGTTTAGACCACATTGCAGATACACATCCTTCACACTCTACCTCCCCACTGCCTAGCACTGCTCTTGACACATAGCAGGGTTCAGAAAGTGCTTGGTTTAACCTGCAGGTGTCACTGTGCTATAAAGCATGCTTCCAAAGCTCCCATGAGTAGGTCTTATTCCCTGCTCTCCACTCATTCACAGGTGAGTGGAATACACAAGATAAAATGACACAAATTCAAGGAAGAGCCAAAGGGCTGCACTGCTATATTCACTGATTTTTAAAGGGTGTTCTTCAAGGAGGCATTTATATTGGAACTGTTACAGGAAAGGTGGAATTAGTATTGGGAGCATTCCTATGGTATCTGATGCAGAAAGTGTAGATTAAATTCTTTTAGGATTAGTGGAAACCAAAAAATTGCACATTTGTAAGTCATGTAATATTCATGGACATAAAAAAAAGGTTCCTTCTGACTGAAATTAATAGAGAATGTGGGAATGAAGGTTGGATTCTGACATAGTCATATGTCAGAAAAGTAATAATGATAATTCCTAGGTATCATCTTGGTAATGTTTAGATTTATAGTAACAAATGGCTAGAATCAGCTCCATGCAGGGTTTTTCAGATTTCACTGTGTGGTGTATATGTAGCTTAATATCACAACACAATGTGATTCAAATGTTTGTTTATAAATGTATTGAGACTGACAATATAGAAGGCAATACAGTCAATTTGCATACTTCTCTATACACATAAGTTTAGGGGACAGTCATGTCCACATTCCATAAACTCATATAAAGAACAATGTACTCAACAATGTCAGTACCCACACACTTATGCCTTAACAAATTCACCTTTCAGATCAGTAGGGGAGACAAAGTGGATTGAGGAGGAAGAAGGGACAGGAAAGGGAAGAACAATGAACTGAATCTGACCAAATATTCATATGGCTTGCATGGAGGTGGCACAGGGGGTCTCAGCATCAGGTGTATCCACAGGACACTAATTTTTAAAAAAATGTAAATTGTAAATGGAATGGTGGGGGATCAGTGGAGTGGAGTTGGGGGCACTGAGGGAATTGCTGGGATCTAAACTAGGTAGGGGGTGTTCCATATTTTGTGATTATATCAGGATTTATCCTGGTGTTGTGTAGAATTTTAAAAATTAAATGAAGATAAAATAAATAAAAATAAATTAAATGAAGATAAAATAAATAAAAATAAACAAATGAAAAAAATACTTTGTAAAGATCCAGGTTTTAAAATTTTGAGAGAGCCAGGCATAGTGGCAATGCAGGTAACCCCAGTAACTTGGGAGGCGGAGGCAGCAGGATCTCAGGTCCACAGCCAGTCTCAGCAACCTACTAAGCCCTAAGCAACACAGCAAGAACCTGCCTCAAAAAAAGGGCTGGGGATGTGCTCCATGCTTAAGTGTCCCTGGCCTCTATCCCTAGCACAAAAAAAAAAGAACTATGAGAAATAGTAGGGATGTTATAAGGTTTGATTAGAGTGTAAACTGACAGATTGTTCACAGAATCGGGGTTTAATAGGAAAGTTCTTTCTAAAGAAACACAGTGGAAATACACCTTTCAATATACCATAAATAAGAGAAGACACTTAAAGAAAGACAATCATGAGTCCAACATTGAAAATATTATCAATGAAACTTGTGGGGTAACACTAAAACTCTCATTAGAGAGAAATTTAAAACCCCTTACTGTAAAAAGGAGTATGTTATTATTATGCCTATTTTGATAAAAATGCTTGGCAGGTTATACATGAAGCAATCGTCATGAGGTAGAAATGGAACAGCACATTAAATGCAGACAAAATAGAAAAGACTAATGCAACACAAAAACTTAAAAAACAAAGAAAGAATAAGAAATCTAGAGTAAAATCCCATAAAAATTGACAAACCATTCATGAAATTAATCTACAAAAAAGAGTAAAACTGCTAAAAGGAGGTAATTTTATGATTCTACAAAATATTTTTTCATAAAAATATAATATGAAGTATCACATTGGTAGATTTGAGAATATACATAAAACGCACAAAGTTAGTAAAGTCAAAAACCTGTCACCTGAGGAGATCACAACAGACCCAGGGCTGGGGGCTGGCTCCATGGTGACTACTTGCCAGACATGTGTGAGGAGCTGGGTTAGATCCCCATCACTACAAAATAAACAAGCAAAAACAGCAAAAAACAATTATATATATTGATAACATTTAATCCATAGTTGAATACTTACACAATTTTTAATTTGCATTCTTCCTCAGATATGGACCAGTGTATGAAGTGTCCAGATCTCCAATATGCCAACACAGAGAAAAGCCACTGCATCCAAAGAGCCGTGACCTTCCTGGCTTATGAAGACCCCTTGGGCATGGCTCTGGCCTG